GGTGTTCATCAATTTGGATGACCCGGGAGACTACGGCACATGTGGTTACTGTGGCCTTAGGTTTTACAAAGAGAAACACTCTCACCATTAGACCCATTAGATTGTGTTTAGTTTACATCAAGCAATATGTCTATTACTGTATTTGATGTTTATTTCTGTTGATTGTATATATTAGTGAATAAAAAATATACTTTAAATTGTGTTGTTTTATTGACAAATAAATGTCTCAATGCTTTAATGCTTTTTTACTAAACATTAAATATACAGTAGATTTCTAAACATTAAGAATATTCCTAATAAATACAAGATTGTTATATTATTTATCTCAAATGTTGATATTATAGATAAAATATTCTTGAAATTGAGTTATTTATAAATCATTTTAAAAAATAAATTTTATAAAAAGATATAAATTTTATATTTTGTCAATATCTGACCAGTATAATAATTTTATTTGCTTAATAAATTGAAATAATCAGAATATTCTTTTAGAAAGTAAACTAGATACGTTTAGATTATGGAATCTGCATTATTCTGTAATAAATTCTGCAAATGAGAGCAAATTCACTATATATTTATCATAAGGACGATAATTAACCTCCAAATGATATTTACTGCACATATGGCATAGTAATAATACAACAAACTTAATTAGCTTTGTTTTGGGAAATAAATATTTGGGTAACATTAGTAACACTACTCCACCCGTTCCCATAACTGCCCATTTGCTTAACACAATAACATTCAGTGATATTTTCCTGTGATTTTAAAAATTCAATGTCAGTATTAAGAAGAATGATGTCTTTTAGGCAAAGAGATGATTATGAAGACACTAAAAGTGAATTAATATTTCTGGATTTAAGTGAATCACTGATCCTAACCAAAGAGGAACTGGAGAAAACAGTTTCCAGAATCCCTAATCTGAAACTCAAAAGCAATGCAATCGACGAGACTGTCTATAGGATGTTAAGCCAACAGTCATTGCAATCAAATTCTTGTCACTTTAAAAAAGGATCTAAAAATTTAAATTCTCGTAAAATGCATTCAAAGCCAACTCTTTTGGCTCCAGACATATGCGACGATCGTTTGGTAAAGTTTTCATACATTAATCCAATTCCTGAGTCAATGACTCGTTTGAATTTAAATGATTTTTGTGAGACTGAAATCGATTGGAAAATGTTAACACTTTTGAGACCAACCAATCGATTGGATGAGCAATACTTCGCGAAATTAGTACAACTCTATCAACTGAGACATAAGACCAGAACTGAGGATGGCTTTGGTGTGAGAGGCGCTGTGTTTCGGGTGTCACGACATCCGAGAATAATGCGATACAAAGCCGTCGTTTTCAATAGATTTGATTCATTCGGCTTTCATTCAAACGTCAAAATCGTCGAAGACTTCACTTATGATGCGTTCGCGAGGGTTCCCGTCGAGACTCTCACCAATCAATCAGTCGATAACAGTGTGTCGGATGAAGATATTCTCTCATTGGCTGATATTTTAGACTTAAAATTATAACATAAGTTACTGTACATTATAAATAATAAAATTGTAAAAAACAATTTTTCTGTTACTATTTAATATTGAGTTTAAAAAATAAGTTGTAATTGAGTTTGGAATTAGAGCTTAAGAACTGAAATGAGATTGTTTTCTATGAATAATTTAAAAAGTTTTAACTATTTTTGTTGGAAAGATAAACAATTGCAACAGAAATCAATTAAAACGAAATGATATAAAGCAATGGTTAAAAGATCTATAAATAAGATGATTAGCAGTTTGTCGAATGTCTAACATTAGAGTTTGAGTTGTTTTTGTGTCTTTAGGTCATCAGATGATGAATAAAAATGTTAGTCAACTGGATGTGCAAAACACATATTCTGTAGTGAAGTGTATATACTATATATCAAACACATTGTGCCAGAGATGAGCAACAAGTCTAGGACTGAGATGCTAAGAGATCGTAAAGCTTAGGCATTCATAGCTAGCATAGGCATCACGGCATCCATGGCTATAAAAGGAATCCTCAAACTATGCAATAGTTGTGTTTGAAACCGACTTTTAGTTATAAGAAATATGAGACTTTGCGCTCTTCAAGAATTCAAGGGGTGGTCGTGAAGTGACTTTGCGTTTGCCTGACAGAGATCTACTCATCTGTATTAGACTCGAAACTCCACCACCTCTTACTTTCATCTGTTTGCGATTTGTGCGACAAGTTTTCATAGTTTGCATTCTCGGCGATAGCACTGAATACCAGTTTGAGTCCATTGGGAAGTTCGGTTCTGTTCTCCAGTTCTTCATTGAGTTATAGTTATTGTTACAGAAGTGAATTGATTGATAGATAACATCAATTCAGTAATATGTCGGCGAGAAGTACGAAATATGTTTACCGTCAGTCCTCAGGTCATGGGGGAGACCTGTCCATTGAATACGGAACTGATTTGGGAGCTCTTACTCGCCTCGAGGTTTGCATTTCTATATTATCTTCATTCAGATTCTTGACATCTCTGTCCGTCTATTTGTAATACTTTTCAAATTCATATCATATTTAATATAAAAATCGACAAAAAGGTAATCAAATGGTTTATCTCCCCGTATGGAGAAAACATAAGAGAGTTTGACTCGAATTTGAAAGTTATATTCATTTTGGATGAAAGCCATTGAATTTTTGTCGGATGACCTCATTTCCAAAGAGATAACATTTTTACTTTCTATCATTGTATTCATCCGAATATGGCTCTCGTTATTGCTTTCATCCAAAACTTTGTTCAATTGATTTGTTTTTTACAATTTATAATAACTTTTGATTTTAAACTGGAATCCAAAGCTTATCTTATGATATATTTAAAAAGCCATAAATTTTGCTCCAATTCACGAAATATGAAAAGTATTACAGAATTGACGTCATTTGACATTGAGATGAGAATATTCTTTGAAAACTCTGTTTATTTAACTTTATTCCTATCATAAAATTGCTTAACATTTAGATATACAATGCATTATATCAACAAATCTTCTTACTTATTATACAATAACATTAAAATCTGTTTTATTTTCTGCTTTAAAAACCAAATTTTGTACAAATTTAGGACAAAATACGTCTTCTTTCCGAAGACTTGGAGACCGAGAGAGAGATGAGACAAAGAGTAAGTTTGCATATATTGTTCCCATTCATCCATTTCTGTCCAAATTGTCTGTAATTTATGTCGAAAAACACTTTAAACTACAACTATCGTAAAAACACAAAACCCTTTAGATTCCAAAAACAACACAAATATTTGAGAGCAAACATAAAAATAGTTTATTTTACTAATTATGTCATTAGATTTTTGACGGACTTATCTCTAATTGGGAAAGTAGTATTCAAAAGTTGTCTAACTTTTTCTATTAAACGGCAAAATATATTTGAATTAGACATTCATATACAAATTCATATCAATTACTTATATTATAAGTGATTATCAGAGATTTCTATAAGTTTTGGCAAACAAGGAGTTAGAGAAGTGTAGAGCAGTTTAGCTAATTTTGGTTTCACTACTGTATCACATCTATTAATAGATCAAACGAGAAATGAGACGATTATTTCATGTCTTGCTTTCAAGTTTGAAAATACTGTTTCTTTCATTAATTTCAATTCGTTTTATTATTACTTTTTAATTAGACTTAACTGTATATCAAATTTAAAGATGCATTAAAACTAATGACTATGAAAAGCATATAATTTAAAATGACCTCAAATCTGATTTTAAATAACATGAAACAACATAATCACAAACAATTAAATAAATTATAAACTGTATTTCATAAATAATTTACAGAAAAATCCATTAAAATTCTTACCGCTTTAATACCCAAACAATAAGTGAATTACTTTAAATAATTAACTGATATTTGTATTAATTTACACTTAATAACGTTATTTTTACTTCCATATAAAAATGTAATTAAGACTTAAAATAACTTTAATTTTTTAGTCATAAGAATTTTGTTGTTTCGATTAGAAGTCAATTACTATTTGTTAACTAATCTATCAATACATTAGTAATAAATGTTTAAATCAATAATATCTCATAAAATTGTGACAATAATTAAGATCGAAAGGGAGCGCTCGGATCTTACCGTCCAATTGATTGGATTGACTGAACGTCTTGAAGAAGCGGAGGGTTCGAGTGAGAGTGTGGTACGGATCCTATGTTTCCATTCTTATACTCCTTTAATGATAGACTTATAATGGATCCAAAATTGATGTCATATTTGTTGTGAACCAAAGGTGGAAATGAACAAAAAACGGGACTCAGAATTGGCTAAACTTCGAAAACTCTTAGAAGACGTGCATTTGGAAAGCGAAGAGACGGCACACCATCTCCGACAGAAACATCAGGCGGCTATCGCTGAGATGCAGGACCAAATGGATCAGTTGCAGAAATCCAAGAATAAGTATTACTTTTGCCATTTGACGACAGAACTCGACCATAAAACGTGTATTTAATATTAGAGTGGATAAAGAGAAACAAAAGGTGCAGGCAGAAGTGTTTGAGTTGTTGGCGCAGATAGAGAACGCTAACAAAGATAAGTTGGTGGCCCTCAAGACGGTCGAGAAGCTCGAGTACACCGTTCATGAGCTCAATATTCGCATCGAAGAGATCAGTCGCACCGTCACTGAAGTGTCGGCTCAGAGACAACGCCTGAGTATTGAAAACTCGGAACTAATCAAAGAGATTCACGAATACAAAGTATCTCTCGATAATGTCAATCACTTGAAGTCACAGTTGGCTCAACAGCTCGAAGACACTCGCCATCGATTGGAAGACGAAGAGAGGGTTAGTTGTGATGAGGAGTTAATTTCGATAAGAAATCATTGAAATGGATTTGTGGTGTATTTGTTGGACAGAAACGCGCGACCCTTGAGAACCACGCGCACACTCTTGAGGTTGAATTGGAGTCATTGAAAGTGCAACTCGAAGAGGAATCCGAAGCACGCCTTGAATTGGAGAGACAACTGACAAAAGCCAACGCAGACGCGGCCGCCTGGAAGTCCAAATACGAGGCCGAACTTCAGGCACACGCCGATGAGGTCGAAGAACTTCGGTATTAATCACATAAAACTTAGTTTTCAAACATTCTGTTCACTGAGATTTGCTTTCTTAGTCGCAAAATGGCTCAAAAGATCTCTGAATACGAGGAACAATTGGAGGCCTTATTGAACAAATGCTCTTCACTTGAGAAACAGAAGTCTAGACTCCAGAGCGAAGTCGAGGTATTGATTATGGACTTAGAGAAGGCCACGACTCACGCACAACAGCTCGAGAAGAGATGCGCTCAACTCGAGAAGTTGAACCTCGACCTGAAGATCAAGTTGGAGGAGGTGACAGTGCTAATGGAGCAAGCTCAGAGGGATGCCCGACAGAAGGCCGCCGAACTCCAGAAACTACAGCACGAGTACGAGAAACTGCGCGATCAGAAGGAGGCGCTCGCCCGCGAGAACAAGAAACTTACGGGTAGGCCATCAACCAATCATACGGCGCCGACAAGTGTTTTATCTGACATTTGTTTTGTTTTAATTGCAATTCAGACGACTTGAACGAAGCGAAGTCTCAGTTGAATGACGCGCACCGAAGAATCCATGAAATGGAGATCGAAATCAAACGCCTGGAGAACGAGAGGGAGGAGTTGGCGGCCGCTTATAAGGAGGCCGAGACCCTGAGGAAACAGGCAGAGGATAAGGCACAACGACTGGCCGCTGAGTTGGCTCAAGTGAGACACGACTACGAGAAACGTCTGCAACAGAAGGAGGAGGAGCTCGAGGCTCTGAGGTTTGCATTAACTTAAGTTGTGTTTGAATCTCGGATTGTAATGAGGAGTCGATTGAACAGAAAGCAGTTCCAGATAGAAGTGGAACAGTTGAACATGAGATTGGCTGAGGCGGAGGCGAAGCTCAAGACTGAAGTGGCCAGAATCAAGAAGAAGATGCAAGCTCAGATCACTGAACTCGAGATGTCTTTGGATGCGGCAAACAAACAAAACCTCGACTTACAGAAGACCATCAAACGACAGGCGCTTCAAATCACTGTTAGTCATGATATGACTGATTGTTATTTATATACAATGTTTAATCGATTGAATGTTTCGACAGGAACTCCAAGCGCATTACGATGAGGTGCACCGACAGCTACAACAGGCGGTCGACCAGTTGGGTGTCGCCCAACGCCGCTGTCAGGCATTGCAGGCAGAGCTGGACGAACAGCGCGTGGCTCTCGAACAGGCGCTGAGAGCCAAACGTATCGCTGAAGTCCAGTTCGAGGAGGCGATGGCCAAAGTGAACGAATTGACTACAATTAACGTCAATCTCGCGTCGGCTAAGAGTAAACTCGAGGCAGAGTTCTCTGCTCTTCAGAACGATTACGACGAAGTCCACAAAGAATTGAGGGTAAAGTCGACATCACTTTTTGGATGTGATTTAAGTCATAACTTATTATTATTTTTCAATGCATTAGATTTCGGACGAAAGAGTCCAGAAGTTGACGATTGAGTTGAAATCAACTCGAGATCTGTTGACTGAAGAACAGGAACGACTCGTCAAATTGGATACTATTAAGAAGTCACTGGAGAATGAGGTGCGAAGTCTGCACATCCGTATCGAGGAGGTCGAGGCCAACGCCTTAGCCGGTGGTAAGCGAGTGATCGCTAAACTCGAGTCCAGAATCAGAGACGTCGAGATCGAAGTGGAAGAAGAGAAGCGCAGACACGCGGAGACCGAGAAGATTCTGCGGAAGAAAGACCATCGCGTGAAGGAATTGTCACTTCAGTCCGAAGAAGACCACAAGACTGTCTCTCTGTTGCAGGAGAACTGCGATAAACTTAACGAAAAGGTTAAGGTCTACAAGAGACAAATGCAGGAACAGGTATGACATTCGTGAATTGCTTCGTGTTCAGACACGACTGACCCCATTGTCTGTCCATTAGGAGGGTGTGAGCTCTCAGAACCTGACTCGAGTGCGTCGATTCCAGCGCGAGTTGGAAGCGGCCGAAGATCGCGCGGATCAGGCGGAGAGTAATCTATCTTTTATTAGAGCCAAACACAGGTCATGGGTGACGACCAGTACCGTCCCGGGCGGCACTCGTCAGGTGTTTGTCACTCAAGAAGAAACACAAAACTTTTAAATTTCAAGATTTATTGTTATAAACAACTAAATAAAATAGATTTGGGAAACACTTTTGGGATACCTTTCAATTAATTATAGCTTAATATTGAAATATAATTTACATTCAAATAATATCGTAAAAGTCCAATATATTATTAATTTAATTACACAAAAAAGCTGCCATTTTTTGAACAGTTTAACTAAAAAAATTATTTTTGTTTCACTGCTGTCCAGAATGTTATTATTCTGCATTCAACTCCATTTCCTCAACCCTTTAAACCCGTCGATACAATGACTTGTAATCATGTTTTAAACTAATTATTATATTTAAAAATGTTATTTTCTGTTAAATTTATTTATTAGTTGTTTATTTCGTTGCGATTGTTATCTAAATTTATTTTGTCCGATCTTTATATCCACTCAATTAAATCCGATGCACTGGACGTAATATAAATACAGGACTGGCCGGCCGGACAGCATCATTCCGCTATGGCATAAACACATTATGAATTTCAGTGCATTTCTATTCAATTCAATTCAATATCAGATTTATTTCGAATAAAATTATGCCATTTATTGAACTCCTTTTAGTCATTTTCTTATTTCTATTCATTACTTAATTAGTATTCATTCATAATTGAGTCAATTTCTGGTATAATAGGCACTAAAAATCAAGTTTAAAACTAGCATGCCTTTTGTTTAATGAGCCTTGATTCAATACCCTTGAATATAGTTGCTGTAAATGTAAGATTCATTTGAAAGTCAAGAATAATTCTAAAGTTTTAAACTATTTTTCCTAGACTTGAGTTGAATTCTCTCCTCAAACAATGAGTTTGATTGATTTAATACCCTTGAACATAGTTGCTGTAAATGTAAGATTCATTTGAAAGTCAAGAATAATTCTAAAGTTTTAAACTATTTTTCCTAGACTTGAGTTGAATTCTCTCCTCAAACAATGAGTTTGTTTGCGAATGCATTCACTTTCTATTGGAAACAGAATATTATTTCAAGTCTAATATATTTGGTGTATCTGTAAGAATAAAGTTAATCCCCGGATGAGTGTTCAAAG